TCCCTCATAACCGTCACTCCCCTTACAACCGTCCTTCCCTCACAACTGTCGCTCCTTCAAAACCGTCACCTCCTCACAACTGTCGTTCCCTCATAACTGTCTTTCCCTCATAACCATCGCTCCTTCAAAACCGTCACCCCTTCACAACCATCTCCCCCCTCACAACCACCACTCTTATAACCACTGCTCCCTCATAACCACCACCTTACCAGCCCAGCTCTTGCAGCCACCCAACACCTCAGCCCTTTTCCGACTGTTTTGCTGCTGAGGGTGCCTTGGGTGAAAGCCATTTTTACTGTGATAAAACCTTGGTGTAGAAAAGGATAGAAAAGGCTGGTTTTTGGTGTGTGTGGCTCAATTATTGTTTCCAACCCTACTGCCCTCAGTAGAATGAAGCCAGTGGCTTGTGGCAGCAAGAATTCATCGTCCGGCGGATATTAAAGATGATATCTGAGTAATTACACACCAAAGCCTTATTGCAGTTCTTCCCTGTCTTGACATGCAGGTAGCTAGTGTGAGGAAGTAATAAAAGCAACCTTTTTGAAAGAAAGATTTTCCAAAAATGATAGCTGCTCTCCCAGGGCCTTTGTTCTTTCCCCTCAAGCCCCTTACATCATCGGAAAACAACTGCATTTTAAAATCCTGCAATACTGTAAAATCCTTCAAGTCCCACTGGATATTATAGTCCTTTCTTATTATTATTATTTGTCACTGCAGAATGTTGTCTTGATTCACACCATGCTGTCTGTCAAACCTGTTTTAAAGACCTTAGTAAATAAACCTCCACTGTTTCTCTTGCAACTTTACTTGAATGTTAGCATCATTTGGCAATTTTCCTCACGTTAAGCTCAAACTCTTTTTTTTTTTTTTCCCTTCAGTATTCCTTCTTATACACCTGTGACCGATAAAGCTATGGATAATCTGGGCACCTCTTAGTGTTTGTAAAGTGGCTAAAAAGAGATGGTAAATATTTGAAATATTGGAGATGGTAAATATTTGAAAGCAGGAGCGTGCTTTGACAGGAAAAACACGTATATTTCAGTCTTTCCAGACAAGTTAGTTTCTTGTGTGTTTTTCTTTGTAGCTCCTTCCCATTTATCCACTCACTCTTTGGTTTTTCGGATACCCACATAATCTTCCTGGCTGCTTTGCCAGGCTGTTTGCGTCCCTGCTCTTCCTCGCTGCTTCCTGCACAGTCATTGCAGCCTGATGCTATCACACCTGGATGGAGGCACATTTGTCCTTTCCTCTTGTCTGAGGCACGAGGAACTCGGATTCCAGGCCAAAAAAATAAAATCATCTTCCTGCTGATTCACCGTGTAGTTTTAGGCACATCATCTAGCTTCAGCTTTCCCGTCTGTGAAAATAGGGATAATAATATCTGATTCAGAGAAGTGCTGCAAAGATACCTATTATTTTTCACAAACATTATCTGTGATGAGAGCGTTATTAATGCGAACCCTGGTGCCCAGATGGTTTCCATTTCAGGGTGGTTTAATCCTCAGTTCCACAGGGCAAAGTCTTTCATTTCTCATATGTGACAGCAAAATGTATGTGCTTGAAAATCGCTGCTTCACCCTCTGCCCTAAGCAGGCGAGGCTGTGTCTGACAGCAGCCTTAAGCACTGGTGGAGCCAGTGCCAAGTGATCATCCTCCTACATCAAACACAGCAAGGGCAAAATTTCACATTTATGAACCATTTTACTTCCGAAGAGATCCCAGAACTTTGAACTCCAACAGGTGTGTTTTTAACAGACACTCACCAGCTTGGGCTTCTCCAGCACTAGGGCTCTTGTGAAGACGGTCCTTAGCATGGAAATGGTCTAAACAGATCCACAAGCGGGCAAACGGCTGGCACGGTCTCTTGGTCAGAGCGTTTCCCTCAGATTAGTCAGAGCAAACATTAACTTTCTCTCCGGAACCTGTTGATCAGTAACTTATGGGGAGAAATAACTCCCAGATCACTGAGGAAGACTGCAGTAAATCACAGCCCGGCCTCGGCTCTAATGGGAACATCCCCTTGGCTTTTCCTCACATCCTTTATTTCAATGCATGAGGGAACCCCGCTACGGGAGGCTCCCCAAGGGACCAAACTAGTGACTCTGTGGTGGGTCTTTGCTTTGGGCCATTCCACCACTTCATTGCAGCCGTGTTCCTTGGGGATGGATGAAGCTGCCGCTTGGGAAGCTGCAGGGAAAATGCACCAAGGCAGCTTTTCCCTTTCCATCTTCTCCGTTCCCTGTGCAGGGGGCAAACGAGGCAGCCGTCAGCACCAAACAAAGAAAATAACCCCCGCCCTGGGACGAATAAAACATGCTGCGTGTATTAAGAGTGCCCAGATTTTGCCTGGAGTGCTCTTCCAGGGGGGCTTTACCTGCACCTCAAGGGAGAGAGTGCTACTGTGATGCCTATGTCACACACCCACATATATATATATAAACACGTATGTATTCCCTTTTAATACACAGATGCTTTGCAAGGGGAGGACCCTACCCTTCGGACTCTCTGGCTGGAGACCAAGGCGGGCTCCAATATCCCAGCTGCACGGCGGGCAGGACCGGGGGCGCCTGGGGCGGAGCGGGGGGCCGGATCCCGCCCCTCGTGGACCAGGCGGAGGCGGCGGAGGCGGCAGTGGTGGCAGCGGTGGCAGCGGTGACAGCGGCGGCGGGACCATGCCCTACCTGCTCATCAGCACGCAGATCCGCATGGTGAGTCCGCCCCAGCGGGGCTGGTGGAGGGTGCGGGGACCGGGCGAGCAGAGCCGGCCGCCCCCAAGGGCAACGGCTGCGCGTGGCATGGGTGGGACACATGGGGACACCGCCAGCCCTGCGAGTCCAGCCTTCCTTCATCCCATTGCCCTCGGTGCAGGCTCAGAGAACTAGGCTGAGAGCCTCTTATTGTGGTACAGTGACAAGGAGAGAGCGTTAGTTCTTGCTTGCTGCCCACAGCCCGCGGGGTTTCAGGGCAGTCACTGCTGACTGCAGCTGGCGCGTTGGCAGCACTTTGTGGGATGTGCCTGCCACAGCTGAAGAACATCTTCCTTTACATGCATCCAAAACATTCCCCCAGTGCGGAAACAGGGGCAATTTCAATACTCTGCTTTCACATCTGCTAGCGCCACAGTGCTGCTTGAAAACACTGATTCGAAGTAGGTCTGTGTGGGCAAACCACTTGGCTTGGGATCACCCAGAAATAGGATGGTCAGGCAATTCAGGTTAGCTTTTCTTTGGCTAGCAGGGTTAATGTGACAGGGAGACCACGGCGGTGTGGGCTGGGGAAAATCATTTTGTTAAGCGAGTAGTGAGCCTGAGGTTTATAGGAGGAGGAGATGTGCCCTGGAGGGATATTGAGATGTTCCCAGTGTATTTTTTTCCCCTGGTTGTGCCTGAAACCTGTGCTTTAGGACTGGGACTTGGGAGAGATGCAATAGCCTTTCCCATAGGCAGCAAGCCCAGGTGGGAATGTGGCTCCCTAACAGGCCCCCAAAGACTTTGGAGCCTCTGCTTTTTTAACAGGACAGAGCAAACAGTTCTGACCTTAAACCTGATATCGAGCCAGGCTGAGAGCAGCCCGTCCTGGCAGGGAGTGATTGAAATTCCACCCTTTTTTTCTTTCTTTTCCTGGCAGAGGAAGGGTGTGAGTTGGACAGGTTGTTTTCTCTTGCACGGCCTATCTCTAGCTGGAGTGACTGGCTGGAGTGCAAGAGCTGGGAATTCTACAGGGAGAGCAACTCCAGGCTCTAGACTAGGAAAAGGCATCCCTGCTCTGCTCCTTTCTATCTTTTCCAGCCCTCCAGACTGCTGACTGTAGGAGCGTGCCTGCCTGCCACACAGCTCACAAAATACATTAGTGATTAGTGGAGCTGCTTGAACACTTTCTAGTCTGGCTCTGCTCTGGGCTCACACTTGATTCGCCTGCAGTTTGTCAGTTGATCAGGGCTGGGAGAAAAGGGTTTGGCCCTCACCTCTTGCTTTCCTAAGAAACACACATACCTTAGGTTTTCTATGCAGAGAGCTGCGAGCTCTCTGGTTTCTGTGCTGTGTGTGGTGACAGAGCTGAGCTGTGCTGCTCTCCCTCCCCGGCCCATTTTATGGCTAAACTAACCTCAGATCCAAGTGCGCCGCTTCCCATCCTGCTGCGCCTGCTTCGGGGGCCAGATAGATGGTTCCCCCTGGCGCGGAAGGGTGGATGACTGCAGGAGAGCCTGTGGAGCAGAAAGAGCCCGGGTTTTGCAACCACTGCTCCAGGGTGCAGGGCTGGCTTTTGCAATGCTTTAGATCACAGAATCACAGAACAGTTGAGGTTGGAAGGGACGTCCAGGGACCATCTAGTCCAACTCCCTGCTCAAGCAGGGATGCCTAGAGCATGTGGCACAGGGTGGCATCCAGGCGGGTTTGGAAGACCTCCAGAAAAGGAGACTCCACTACCTCTCTGGGCAGCCTATTCCAGGGCTCTGCCACCCTCACAGTAAAGAAGCTCTTCCTCATATGGAGATGAAACTTCCTGTGTTTCAATTTGTACCCATTGCCCCTTGTCCTGTCACTGGCCACCACCGAGAAGAGTTTGGCCCCATCTTTTTTTTCAGGAATTATCCGAGCACCCACATTAGTATCAAGAAAGGAAGGGCGAGCTGTGGGTCCCATGATGCAGGCGTGTATCGTCTTATACCCCTTGTGACATGTGGGAAGTCCCCCTGATGGCTTAGAGGGCCAGATGACTCATGTTCCTGATCATCTACCCCCAGCTCCTCTGCTATCCCTCAGGTTTTGAGAGACACTGGTAGTTCCTTGACGTTCCCCTGATGTTCCACCCCCTGGTGCATCCCCCTTCCTTTCCCAAAGCCAGGCTCTGCCAGGCCAAGGTGAACAGATATGAGACACCTCATCCCATGGTGGGACCAGGCCCAGTGTGAGCTCAGCCAGCAGGTGGCTCTCTGGGAGCAGGTCACCAAGGTCCTGTCTGGGGGCCACTCAGGTGGCTCTGTCTGGAGCTGGGACGCAGCAACACGGGTCCCCAGTGCCAAGCAGAGGAACCTGCATTAGATATCAGCGAGATGTGAAACATGGCACTGGAAACTTCATTCCTCTGAGGAACTGCTCCCTTCCCAGTGCATTTGCCCCAGGTTGTACCTGCAACCAGTACATGACTTTAGGACTGGGACTTTCCAGAGCTGTCAATATCCTTCATACACTGCCGTTTCCTAGACAGAAGTGGTCCTGAAGTAAAGCTGGTCCCTGTGGGGCAGGGACAACCTCTTACCAGAACCAGCAGGGAAAGGGCATGGGGGTGGCCGTGCTGCACAACATTGCTCAGGTGCTCTGCTGCATTTCCCCGCAGGAGGTCGGCCCAACCATGGTGGGAGATGAACATTCGGATCCCAACCTGATGAACTACCTGGGGGCTACAAAGAGAAACATGTTGGGTAACCACTTGTAAGTGTTCCTGTGATGCATCTCATGCTCTTGTCTCTCCTCAGTGTCCCCAGAGCTTCCTGCCTGTCCACCATAGCAAATTTGAACTGCACAACCACCTTTAAGCTCAGCTTTAGGTTGCCAATGAATAGAAAAACTGGATAACACTTTCACAGACCTGAATTACCTGTGACACAGAGCAACACATCGACAACAGCTCTTCATCCACAGGCCACCTCTGGGAGTGGGTTGTATTGATGATCCTTTTAATAGGTTTGGTTGGCAATTTTCAAAAATTTCATACAATCTGAGTCAAAATACCCTTCACCAAGGGCGAACTGTGTGTAGAAGCTGCCCCTTTGAGGTGTTTGTACAAACTGTTTGCTGAGTGTAGACTTGTCTTCTTCTGCTGCCGGGCCACCTCACAAGCTGACCCCCAAACTGTCTGATCCCTGTTGTGGTTCATCTGAAGTCTCTCCCTTTTACTGAGTGCCTGTGGCTGAAGAATTAGAGCTACTCCCTATTCCCCTCCTGACACCAACCCGTTTGCCCCATCCAACCCTCATACGCTTTACGCTTTTCCATGTCCCTGCGCATCTCTGCCCACGCTGAGTTTGACACCCTCCTTCAGCAGAGTGCAACTTGTAAACATTACTGAATGTTCTTTACATCTTGTCCCACTTTTTTTTTTTCCACTTGATATTTCATTTTTTTTCTAGAGGAAACAACGAAAACAAAACCAAACACAAACAAACAAGAAAGAAAAATAACCCCCAAATATCAACTAAAACAACAGAGGCGAGCAGACAGATTTCTGCTGAATCTTGCCCACTCGCTCCATGGTGTGGAGAAGGAGTAGGAGGAAAACCAGGCATTAAGCAGAAGGAGACCTCTCCTTCCCACTCTCTTCTGCAATTTCTATCAGCTGGACCAGGAAAACCCACCCACGCAGGACCAGCCTGGCAAACATCGAGGTCTAAGTCCTTGATTCCTGCTGCATTACAAAAAAATAAAAGGAATAAGTGGGAGAGCAAGTGAAAAAGAGAAAAATAAAAGAGTTGAAGGCCCTTGATGAAGAGAAATCCTTCCAAGAGCCAACTCAGGCCATCACCGCCCACCTGCATCTGCAGGAAGACTGAGCTCGTAGCCCTCCTGTCACTCCACTCGCTGCCTGGCAGGGCCGGGGTGGATTTGGCGGCGGAGCCGTCTCCGCGCTGCTATTCCCAACCCCGTGGGCGGCACCAGGATTGGCAGGAGCAGCGGCTTCAGGCAGCTGCCTGCAAAGAGGAGCCCAGCAGCACGCAGGGAGTTATGCAATGAGAGACCCAAGGAGGAAGAAATAAACAAATAAATAAGAGGCGAGGCTTGAGGAAGGGCTAAAAAAGAAAAGAAAAAAGAAAAAAGTGCTGCTGGTTCCTGAGGGATAGGAACAACTCTCTGGGATTCAGGGGGAAGAGAAGGCAAGGGAAAGATAAATAAAATGCCTCTTTATTCTCTGTCCTGACAGTCAGGGAGGAGGTGCAGAATTATAAAGATTTTACTTCTGTTGCGGAGAAGGGATGCGAGCCTGGCTGGTAAATTGGCCCCACCTGCTTCTTGGTATGATGGGAATTAGAGTAAGGGTAATTCTTCTAGATCTCTGTGGCACATCTTCCCCATTTGCACTTGAGCAACAGGAGGTGGAGGAAATACCTGCTGAGGGATGGGGCCGCTCTGTACGGCAGCGGTGAGCTGCCTTTCCTGGCAGAGCACAGCCAGAAGGGCAAAGCTTTCCCCAAAACGGATTGCTGTCCTCCTTTAGCACCCCTTCCTAGCAGGCTTTCCTTCCACCTACCTCCAAGGGGGGCTTCAAAAACAGGAAACTCAGCTGGTGCCACCAATCTTGTCCCCCCTCCCAGCACTCTGGCTCTGAAAACCTGACCTGATGAGCTCCTCACGAGCATGAAAGTAAAGGTCTAAGTGGTGTAGACCAGCTGGGGCACTATCTTATGTAAATGAACAACTTAATCACCGGTAATAAGGGAGAGAAGCAATCCTGTCAGGCAGCTCTGCCACTAGCTACTGCAAATGTCACCTCATCAAGTTCCACCAGCTGCTGGCGTGCAGGAACACGTTGCTGCCACTTCGGGGCGGAAGCCCAGGCACATCTGGGTTTGGGAAGGGAAGAACCGGGCTCCACAGCAGCCTGCTCTTTTCTGGTTGTCAGCAAGGGGGACACCTTGGGTGCGGAGGAGGAGACTCTTCTGGGCACAGTGTGCATGCTTGAGTAGACATCCATCCATCCACACATCCATCCATCTATCCATGCATGGATGGGTGGATGGATGGATGACTGTTGGACACTGTTTCAGGCATCTCCTGTTCTTATGTTGTCTATCAACACTGCTTGGTCTGAAATGAAAACAGATGCTACTTCTTTACTGTATGCTGGGAGTTGGGGCCTGAGACACCTGCTAATACTTTCATTTAGCTGCTCTCCAAAACGTAGTCAAAAAGCATCCCTGAGGAAGCTGGAAGAACAACCGGGCACATTAGGAGGAGACTGGCTGGTCACCAAAAACAGCTGCATTTGGAGTATACACGTGTTGCAGTTCAGTCCCCTCCCCACGTGTAGCACGAGCTCACCTGGGCATACCTGGAAAAGCTGGATCCTCGTCCTTACAATGTGCAGGTGCACAAGTCCTGTCTACTCTCAGGTGATTTTTAGGTCTCCTGTTGGCTTTTAGCTGCAAGGAAGGACTTTTCAAATTTTCATGGCCTCTCCATGTTGCTTCAGCCATATGGTTGCAGCCCACATGGTTGCAGAGATGTTGTATTTGATACGAGTTGCACGTGATCTTTTGTTTCACTCAACATGGGCTTGTGTTTAAGGCCCTGGGCAACCCAACCTTCCTTCTGATTTTAGTTCAGCCACTAAGGGTTTTTTATGTTCCCACAGGTAACCAACCCCGCCTAAGTTCCTTCCTCTGCCTAATGGGAATAATATTTACAAATTTCAACATGTGAATCTGAAGCACATGTGAAAAACCTCTTAAAGAAAGCATTAAGTTCAAAGGCACCTGTAATAATATATATTATCTTTAAACCTCATCTATAATTATAGCAATGTCTTAAGAAAGAGAGAGAGAGAAAAAAAAATCACTTGTTAGTATTATTTCATGCTTTAAAAATACTCACCAGTCCATTAATATATGGCAATCTTAGCAATAGCAACCTTGTCTGGACATGTTTTGGGGTCTTTTTTGGAGGTCCATGCTTCATATCAAAGTCAGAAGGGTCGTTTTTGCGATGCCCAAACAACATCCCTAATGATGCTGTGTCCCATCATTAGCAGTTTATCTGGCTCTGTGAGTCATCTAAGAGCTCCACAATTAGGAGGCTTATCCCATCTGTTTAAGTGCCGCAGCCAAAAAGACTGTGTTAAAAGAACATTAAGGCTGCCAAATCCGGCGCTTGGGGTTGTGCTCCGCATTTGGGGGTCTGCTGTTCCCAACCTAATGCTGCCCCTTCTGTGCCTGTGTTGGGCTGCTCTCCTACTCCATGGTCCAGTCAGGTAAACTAGTATTAGGTTTTAGCAACAGTAAACACAGTCTGATAACACGGAGCTATAAGGCCCTGTGAGCTCTCAGATCTGCAGCTTCCCAGGAACAGAGAAATTCAAGGAAAAGCTCAGGCTGTTTCTGTGCTGCAGTTGCCAAAGATGCTGTGTTTGAAGCCTGTACCCTACTCTCCTCCCTGCTTTGTAGCCAGTACTCACGTTTTCTATGTATTCCCAATCATACATACTTGAACTCCCTCAGCTGCAGGTTCAGTCCAGTTAACCAGCCAACACGTGGCTTTGGTCAACCAATTCCCAAACCGCCCTTCAATTTCAGTGACTGTTTCATTCCTCCCAGCCTTTCCCCTCGGGTTTGCAAGCTATGGCTTTTGGCCTCTGCCACCTAGTCAAAAGCCCATCATTTGGGCAGGCCCAGAGTGAGCCATGGTCACTGCGATGTCCTACGCTCCTTTATTAGTGATGCCAGAGTCATTTGCACAAGGAAACCCTCGTCTCTTCCACCTCATCTCACTGGCTCCTCTCTCGCCTGCTTGCAGCTGGGAGTACTATGTGAATGACGCGCCCCGGATAGTGTTGGACAAGCTGGAGAGCTGCGGCTACCGCGTGGTCAGCATGACAGGCGTGGGCCAGACCCTGGTGTGGTGCCTCCACAAGGAATAGCGAGAAAGGCTTCTGCATTCCCCCTGGGCAGAGCATGGCGGCTGCACTGGATGATCTCTAGAGGTCCCTTCCAACCTCAGCCTTCCTGGGATTCCGTGACTCTGGGATCGTCTCTCGCGGGACCTGCGGCAAAACTTTCCCCTTGGGTAGCTCCTTTCCGGCACAGACTCCAGGCGCTCGTGCGGGTGGACGTGCGGGAATGCTGTGGAGGCAAAACTTGGCCTAATAGGAGCTTGCCATCCCTGCCATTGCACAGGGCCTTAGGGGAGGAACGCGCGTGCCAGGTCCAGATCAAAGGTAAATCACACACTGAGAACAGAGGGGCCTAACTATCTCTCATCCAAATGGCAGCCTGGCAAATGCTACCCTTTTACATTTGAATCCTTCTCTATTTAGCACGCCTGGGAGGGAGCTCAAATGATAGACCTGCCCTCTCTTCCTGAGGGCAGAGAAGGATGTGCTGAGCTGGGAGGGTTCACAGCGTGCAGCCACCCAGGCCGGGACGGGTGGCCCTGGGAGGGGAGGCCACCACCCCAGGCCCACTCTCACCTCCTGAAGCTGCAGCAGTGGCTGCTAAACCCACGCGCCGCCCTTTGAGAGCCACTTCCCTTAGCAGCAAGGCTGGCTTCTTTCCCAAATGGAATTGTGGTTGGTGCTGTCAGGCTTTCAGGCCCAAAACTGCCACTCAGATACCACCTGCTTCCTGCGATAGCCTCGGAGCATCGCAGGGAAGTCTGGTGCACATTTCTGGCATGGGCTCTGTAATCGGAACAGCAGCAGCTGCAATGTTGGAGTGTTTGGGGCTGTGTGTATTGACCCTGCTGTAACACTAATAAAACATTTACCTGAAGACACTGACATCTTTCTGTGGGCTGTTGTGAACTGCTGTCGCCGAAACCTCCTGGATCCGCAGCTCCTCAGCAAGTGTTCAGGAATGAAGAAGTCCCAAGCCTTGGAGAGCTGGGGGTTTGTCCTGGCAGCACCTCTCCGACCCCGTGCCGCTCCCCAGCGCACAGGCTGCCGAGGCAACGTGCACGCTCAGAAACCTCTGACTTTTTCCCCTCTGGGGGTTAAGGGCCGCAGTTGAGGGCAGTTTACACTTCCACAGCATTTTTAGAAAAAGGAGGTTTATTGACTTAATTTAAGAAAAGAGCTTTCTAAATGCAGAACGATGGGGGGAGGGAATCTGTACTTCCTCATCCTAGGTGTGGGACTCTTCCTCGTCTTCCCGCTGGAGCTGCTCAATGAGCTGCTGCCTCTCTGCCGCTTGGCGCATCCGCATCATCACCAAGCTCTCGTAGTCTCGCTCCGAGACCACCGATCTCTAGGGGCAGAAAACAAACACGACCTGTAAAAAACACGTTACACAGCCCCGGTCCTGACTCCTCACAGTGAAAGCTCCTCGTAGCTTTGCTGCTGCGCGCGGGAGCGACCGGCACGTCAGCCAAGCGCTGATTGCAGCCTCGGCCTAATAAATGTGGGTTGCAGATGACAACTGCTATCTCAGAGCAAAGTGGTGGCTTTGGCGCTCGCCTTTCCAAAGCAATTCAGCATTAGTAGGTGGCACTACCAGTTTCAGAGGCACTCAAAGCACTGCAACACTTGGAAACGTCCCTCTTGCTTGAACATCCAAGTTAGAAATAAAGTAACATGCACAAAAAGAACAGGAAAAAATGTAATGTTTGTTTTCCTAGGAACTAGATTTGGTGGTGATTTAAGGGCATTTTATGTAGAAAACATACGGATGAAAAGCCACTAGCAGGGCGAGTGCAAATCTGATACTAAATACTAGCAAGGCAGTTGCTTGAGCTGCTGAGAGACTAGTTGTGAGGACGAAGTAAAAGCCACGATAACCTGGAAACTCCGCGGAGCCTGAGAAATGAAGGGATTAATACATTGTAAGTGACAGCTTAGCAACTGCATGAAGGAAATAACCTTCTGGTATTGTTCAGCATGGAACTTCACAGTGTCTGAGGGAGAGCCAGACTGTATCAGTGGCAGAACTAGGTTTCTTCAAAGCTTCTGGCCATTAACCACAGATACTTACTGTCATCTACCCGGCTGAATGAATTAGCCTACATGAGACTGATGCAGATGAGTCACCCGTACAAACCTGAATCACTGCTTCACACTCTGGCTTTAAATTTAAAGCAGACAAGAGATCACTTCCCCTGCCTTTTGTGAGCCCTGCTGGTGCAAGAAGCCACCAGAAGTGACAGCAGGAAGAGCACCAAGAGCAGAGTCACATTGGAGAGCGGCTACGAGTCAACTTTCATGTTGGTGGTTCTCAAGCAAGCTGGATGCCTCTGAGCGAGCTTTGCCTTCTCCTGAGGCAGAGTGTGGGCTGATGCTCCGCCGCTCCACACACCTACTTCCTGCAATCCTGGCAATTACCAATAGTGTAAAACCCAGTTTCTGACGTGGCTGACTCAGCAAGGGCTTGGCTCAAAACAAATACATACGCACAAGGAACTGCAGCCTGGGAAGCTCTGACAGGAGGCAAATGAAGGGAAAGAGGCATGGAGGATTTCTAGGGTCCTGGGTCCAACCCGGCTGAGCTGTCTCCAGCCCTGTTATCCCAACAACGGCTCATCGCACCGGTGGTTGCAGTCCTCTCCAAGTGCTTCAGCAGCTTCTTCTCTGTTGGACTCGGGTGCTGCTCCCGCACAAAGTAAGTCTTTATTTTGCATTTGATTTTCCTAACGCTAGCTACCCGTTGGCTCTGCTGCTTGTGAAATTTCCACTTGTCCGTGTTTTCCTTTGGTTTCCTTTCGTGCGACTGAGTCACCGGCTCCCTTCCCAACCACCTCCTGGAATTTTTATACCGTGCCCTTCTCCGTGAAGGTGGCTGGTTACCATGGTACCAAAGTGCCCTTCTGTTCGGGATGCGAGATTAAATCTGTTCTCATGGTGACTGTGTGCTGCTCTCCATCAGCTTCTTTCGGCGGCACAGATTCAGCCGGCTCATTCCTTCCCTGCTGAAGAGCAAGGCTCCCTAATACCTGATACGCCAGCTGCTCGCTGACAGAGGGGTGTAGCGTGAAGAAGTCGGTATTTCCTGCAATACCAGCCTCTTTGTTTTCCTTCCAGCTACGGGAACGAGGAAGGAAGAGGTTGTTCCTGTTCCGTGTGACTCGGTGCCGATCCTGTGACTGAAGTCCAGCATCTGACTGCAGAGCAGTCAGCAGCTCCCTTCTTTTCGTTGCCTTTCCTCAGCATGGATACGTGGCGCAGAGGGTCCATTAAGTCCACCACGTTCTTCAGGCGCTTCTCGCTCAGGAGGCACAAAAAGCTGGGCAACCAAGTCATCCTCCTCAACCAGAACAGCCACACTCTGGACAACGACGGACAGTGCCAGAAGAGGGAACGCTTACGGGATCTGAAGGACAAGTCTGATTACCTGTCATATCAGAGTGAGCAAAACCTAGCCAAGGCACAAGCACCTCCCAAGCCTCCCCGGCTCTACCTGGACAGTTCTAGCTGCCCCAACATCATTGATCACACAGATTCTCACTCTGACATCTCCTTTTCTGGTGCTACTCATCAATACCACAAAGCCACTCAAACTCAATTCCACAGGGAGCAGGCTTCAGACTGTGGGGCCATGGAGGTGGGTTTCCAGAGCGGCACAGCTCCCTCCGACCTGTCTGATCCCTTTCTGTCCTTCAAAGTGGATTTGGGGCTATCGCTTCTCGAGGATGTTCTGCAGACCCTCAGAAAACAGAATCCAAGAGATTATGCCATTTGAAGGTATGTGCCACTCAATGTATCCCATTTGCCTACGGACACTGTCAGTTTCTCTAGTCCTGACGAGAGGAAGGACGCTGCAGTGTCCCCGTTTCGAGTGGCCTGTTTCATTGTTCTTGCCCGACCCCTCACAGACTGTTCTCGTCCTCGCTCCGGAGCCCCTCGGAGCAGAGCAGTCAGGCTGCACGCCCAGATGACACGGGGCTCCTGGAGCCTCACCCAGGAGCTTCCATCCTCGGCAGTGGGAACTTTCTAATCTTGACCGTGCACCTTCTCCTCATGGAAGGATGACTATGCTTGGCAAAGGACTTGTCTGGGGGATGGGGTTGCGACCGTGCAGCACGGACAGAAAGGGATGTGGCATACACCATTTGTGGCACTGGAAAGGGAACAGCCAAGCTGCTATCTCAAAGCCACAGCTATAGCAAGGGGCAAGAAACAGATACTGCTGTTTTTTTTTTCTCCTACCACATTTGGATGCAAAAGTCAAAGATATTCCTTTTTTTTTTCCCTTCTTCTTGTGGCTTTCTCTTCCCCTAATTCAAGTGCAGATGCCACTTCCAGCCTGGAAACAGGTAAGCATCCATAAAAGCTCAAACACCAGCAAGAGCAGTTTATTTGTCTGTTATCAGGAGAAAGGTCTCTAGATACTGCTGCTTGAAGCATGCGCTGACCTACCAGCTGTACAGATGTCAAAGAATAAACGTGTCTGTGACTGGAAGCGTCTCGTTGCCTCCTTTCGTTGGTAGCAAGCCAGAAAAACAACAAGCCTGGCATCAAGAGCACGGATCCCTTGATCTGTAATGACCAAGGCCTGTCCTCTCTGGTTCCTCAGGTTTTCACAAGGCGGGTGCAGAAGGAGTGGGCTGCTGGTTTTGTGCGTGGGGAGAGGGCTGGTGCTGCTGACAGGCTGCTCTCCTCCCCCGAGCAAGAGGGCACATGCAAGGCTCAGAGTCGAGACTAGCTGGGCTGACCCCAGCTTCTCAGCTGCAAGCTGGACAGCAGGAGGAGCTCAGACCAGCTGACAGGGCTTTAGACCCGCCAGGATGGGCTGTTTAAATGTCAGTGTAGAAGCTCCTGGGCCACCGAGCCTTAGCTTACACCCGGATCACCTGTCAGGGCTATTTCAAACAAACAAAAAAACAACCCCCCATATCCTCCCTTCACCCCAGTGAAAGAAAACAACAGGTAGATAATTACAAGCTTCGGAAAGAGGCAGCAGCGATGCGCAGAGACATTCCAAGATGTCCAAGATATGGGGAGCCCTTAACCTGCCAAATTCACGGCAGGCTGTAAAGGCAGATAACGTGAGCCAAGCTCGCTACAACCCCAAAGGAGCTCAGGGAAGATGCAAGACAGTGCCAGAGCGAAAGCTTTTCTCAGCAAGCCGGGGCAGATGAGAAAACAAGTGGTAGGAAGACACCAGGACTAAAGATGCTTCTTAGGAAGGGAGTACTTCATGCTGTTGGAGTGGCAAGCTAGGTTCTCCTCGGCGTTATGCATCTGTGGTGTACCCTGAACCACCCAGGGCCACAGGATGGCGATCAAATGGTCACTGCTGTCAGCCCAGGGGTGACCACAGCCAATCTACAGCTCTTGGAGTTCAAGTGCAACTCTCCCTTTTCGCTCTGGCAGCTCTCCAGGAGCTGCTGGACACTGCCTGTCCTCGGCTCTGTGAGGAAACAACGCAGCGAGGACTAGAGGGGCCAGCACTCCCTTCTCACAGCGGGGTCCGTTAGGAGTTTCACCTGGGATCTGCTCCCAGAAGCTCCCCTGGCTGAGGGTGCACGAAGCTCTCGGTTATTTGAGGAACACAGCGCGCTGCTCTTGGCCGGCACCCCAAGGCAGGGGGTTCAGGCAGCTCGGAAGCAGACGAGGAGCAAGCGTGTTGCCATGAGAACATTGCAGCTCCCAGGCTGCTTTCTGAAGGGGAGGAAGCTGCACTTGCACAGACAGGAACAAAGAGGGGGTGGAATCAGACAGAAATAGGAGCGATCCAGAAGTGGAAATTGGGCAGCTTAGAAGACACCTGTGCAGAGCTGAAGGTGAACCTGAAAGCGAGAACGTGGCCCTTGATGGATAGGAAGCCAGACTGGATATGAAAGGAGAAGGTGAGGCGCTGATCAGGGCAGTGGCAGAAGGAAGGTCTCTGAATGTCCTCATCTTGGATAGAACAGAAGCAAAGAGCTGGGGAGGAAAACTCAAACTCATTCGTTCTGGCCCCTTGGTCACCTGGTTCTGCACTGTGCATGAAGATGCACTCCGCTCTGCTTCCTTGGCCTACTGGGCTCTACTGTCAGAACTGCTCTTGCTAGGTGCTCTGAGAAACGAGGACAGGCTGTTTAGAAAATGTCCATCCCAAGTGAAAATACAGCAGCCCTAACCCGATGTGGGACAGCAGCGAGGCACTCGGATGTGTGTAAAGGCACCTGCTATAACTACAGCGCTTAGCAAAAAGCTGGGACACCAAATGTAGCCAACACAGGCCAACAAAAATACGGAGAAGGCTCATCACGCAGAAGGCTCATCTAAAGGCACACACATAAATCCAGGGCACCTGCAGAGCGTGAGGCGAGATTCCTCTCCACAACAACCAGATCTGAGTTTTGATCTTTGCACCACAGGGAAAGGAGGGGTGGTGCAGGAGTGTCGCGTGTAGTTTGAAGTGGAACTGCAACAAGCAGCGAAGGAGTCCAGGCTTCTTACCTTACTTTACCTCTTAAAGGTCCCTCTTAGGCTTCTTACCTTTCCTCTCAGACAATCAAGTTATCACAAAATAGGTCAGAAAAAAGGCAGGGCACAAAATACCCTACGCTTGGTTCTACAGCACTGAATTCAACGTGTTTCAAGGAAATTAATACAATTTCCACTCCAAAGGGCCAATGGGAGCAGAGGGCAACATGTTGCAGCCTAGCCTCCACGTCTGGAGAAACCTGCTTTCTATGTTTTAACCACTAGATGTTTATTGCCTTTCATCTGTGTTGTGTTTGGAATACATTTGCTATCCAAGAGGAAGAGCTCCACATGGGTTAACAATCACCTTCCACTCAGCGTGTCTACCAAAGCCATGAACAACACTGCCAATGAAGCCCTAAAATGGACAATAATTGTCTATTTATTAGGACTTTAGTTTAGTGCTGCCTTCTTTTCCCTATGCACATACAGAATCAGCCAGAGGATTCAGAGAGTCAAATGTATTAGGGTAAACCCACAGAAAAGGGGCAGCAGACGCTCCAGGCTGAGCAAGGAACATCTTTTTCACTTGGAAGAGAGACTGAGGGGAAAAAAACCAAAACACTCATGCAGATGGCTTGTGTCCCAGCACGCTGCTACTCAAGCCAAAGGTCTCTTAAATAGGGCCACTCCTTCAGCACGGAAAGACTCATCAAAAAGCCTTTCACTAACAGCTTCTTTTCCAGCTCTGCTGGTACCAATGCATTCTACCCGAAGTACAGAACATGTTGTTAATTTTCGGTTGCTAGAGGAACAGATTCCAGCAGCAGCTGCCTGTGCTTTCCTTACCTGCGAAGTCCTCGGCTGAGCAGCACTGTCGGAGCGGACAGAGCTGGGATTACTCTGGGGCTGGCCCTCCAGCCAGGAAATCTTTAGTGGATTATTTATCAGGCCAACTTCATTCTTCACAGCCATCTCCTATCAATGAAAATATTCTTTCATCACCTTCTGAGTTTTGGAACACACTACGTTGCAGCTCTGTCACAGTTATAAGGCTTTCTTCATCTCAGCTCTGAATCAAGGCCAGGCAGAGGGCAACCAACACAGGTTTCAGAGCTGCCCTATATAGGAAGCATCCCTTTTTAAGGCCCATAACTGCATTAAGCACAAAAGGGCATATCACTGCCACTACTTTTTACATAACATGAGCACAGATACTTATTTTGATACAATTAGATTATTTGGATATACTAGTGAAAGAGCAGGTGACAAGGAATAAAGAGAAACTCTTGCATAGCAAAATTCTTAGTTGATGGGACTGCCAAAATTAGGGGTAACTGATCATTTTGGTTTCCACTGCCACATGAATGATTTTAACTGGCAGCAAGTCAAAACATTTTGGATTTTGCTTTTTCCCCCCCTCTCTTCAAATGTGCTGAGGCCTCCAGACAAAACCTCCAAAACCCATCGGGCCCAACCCCAAAAGAGGTAATTAACCCTCAGAGGCTGCTTCAATAGCTCTTTAAAGCCTCTCTTTAAAGCAGCAGCACTTTCCTCAGGCATTTACATGTGCAGCCTGCTTGTCTACATGCACAGTCTGCCCCGGCTTTATGCCTCGAGCTTTGCTACTCCTTTCAGGCATCTGTACCTTGGACTCTCATTACCCTTCTCCACGGCCTCTCTGACAAAGCAGTGGCTCTAGGCTGCCAATCTGCTAATCATTCCCTCGTGCAACACCTCTTCTTCTCCACTCTTCAGTGAGCACGTTTGTGGTCTCCGTCAGACTTACAGCAGCCTTAACCGTAGCAAATTCCACCACGGCGCTCCCCGCCTTCCTGCTTGACATCAACAAATTGAGCACATCCCCATACTGCAAGAACAAAGGAAAAAAGGAAGAAAAACATACTCAGATGAGAAGCAAAGCACATCTGGGAACACAGGGAGAAAACAAGCCTCTCCATAGACCTACAGCTGGAGCTGTCGCCCTTTCTGTGCTTTCATGGATCCTGACATGTCATAATTTCTGCTCCTAGAAGGAAGGATTTGGGGGAGGTTTGTGTTTAAACACCCGCCTTCTGGTGGGCTAGAGAGCAGGATCACTGCTGAGCTCAAGAGTCCAAGCTACAGCAGATACTCTCATAAAGGGAAAACAAAAAACATATGCAGGGATTAATCAGATCATGGGCTCTTATCTACTCCTGCCTCACAGCTGATGATCTCTGAAAAATGGCAGGAGTCAGAAAGCTGAACAACAGTAAAGGAGATGAGCTACGCTGGTTTTTGTAGAGCTTAACAGAATTTACTATCCTTTTCATAGCTTCAGAGAAGGGAAAGATCAGGTAATAAAGAATGACAAGACCTTCTGCAGGATCCGCATCAGAACGTCTCTCGAGTATCCCCCTTTCGTGTCATCTTCCTTCCTGCACTTCCATTTCAGCTGGGAAGTAAATGTGACAGGTTAATCTTGTCTTCCTCCCCACACCGTTGCCATCCTCACTGCCACTCTCATCACCTGCAGAATAACCAAGTTGGCTCTTTACAGCTCACAGCCCCTGCAGTGCCAGGATGCTGATCTCACCATCAGAACACGCAAAGGGAAGAAACTATTGGAGTAACAAGAAAGACTCCTCATCGGAATAAAAGCAGCTCATACCTCGTAATAATGGTTATATTAAGGTAAGGAGCTGATGCAGAGCCCAAACAGACTATTCAAACACAGCTCAAAAGACTACATTGAGCAGTAAGGGAGAAAAAGAAGTGGGAGGTTGGGAGGATATTTTATAGGCAGTGACGGGAGTTGTTTGCACACTACATAGAGGAACTTCACCTCCTCTGTACAAAGGGCCCTGACAGCTCAGCAACAGAGCTGAGG